CATGTCATTAATGGTGATACATGTCAGCCGATGATGATACATGTCATTAATGGTGATACATGTCAGCCGATGATGATACATGTCATTAATGGTGATACATGTCAGCCGATGATGATACATGTCATTAATGGTGATACATGTCAGTTAATGGTGATAATATGGCAAAGCATATCAGTTAAAAGTGATATGTCTGCTTATGATTACTGGACTGTTAATGATTAGTTATGTTTCTTCATAATTTTTCTCCTTGTCCTCTCTCTCTATCACATGCACGCACACACCCATGCCTGCACGCACAGAGAGAGAGAGAGAGAGAGAGAGAGAGAGAGAGAGAGAGAGAGAGAGAGAGAGAGAGAGAGAGAGAGAGAGAGAGAGAGAGACTGAGAGAGAGGACAGCAGAATGATAATTTCTCTAGATCTTCATGCAGACAGACAGACAGACAGACAAGCTGCAACCAAGGTTATGTATGACCTGCTGTAATGTTGGCTGGCTTGCTGCTGGCGATTACACAGACAGAATTCTCCTATTTGTCTCATGCTGCAAGTGGGTTTCATTAATGATACTAATGATGATAGACTGGTGTTATGTTTTATGGGGTGTTGTATTGTACAGTTTTGAAAGATATGGCTGGCCGCCCCAAGGATGTTACAGCCAATGTTACAGCACCAGAATTGTTACAGCAACATGGATGTTAACAGCACCATAAATGCTACAGCCACAAATATAACAGCACCATAGATGCTACAGCACCACGAATGTTATATAACCATGGATGTTACATTACAGCACCATGGATGTTACAGCACCACAAATGTTATATATCCATGGATGTTACAGCACCACAAATGTTATATATCCATGGATGTTACAGCACCACAGATGTTACAGCAGTAGTTGCTCTAGATCTGCTGCAGTTGCTGAAAGCTCCAGGATAATTCCAGAAAGAGAGCCTGTCACTTCTAGCTTATAATCCCATGACAAAGTGTTTAAATGAATGTGAACGTCTATTCATGTATACACACTGACTGCTGTAAAATGAGCTTCACTGTTGCCTTGATATCTCTGAAGTCAAAGACACTCCTCTGCTATGGCCTTCTCTGCTGCATTATTCTTGTCTTCACACTTCACAACCCACGGCTGACAGACTAGTAGCTGGACCTCTTCATACTGAAGGATATTTTGTTTCACTCTTTTAATTATCTTTTTACAGTGATGAGTTCAAAGTTAGCCAACTGACAACACTAGCAGGCCGGCATGCCCAGCTCTCCTTCTATCAACAAAGCTACAGTGTCTGTACCCCCTTGCTGGTGTATGTTGACTAGGAATCCTTCTTCTTCAAACCTTGACCATGCAGACTACAGGCCTGGGTGTCTGACAGACACAAACCCGGAGCCTGTATGAGGCGGGCATATGTCAGACAATCCCATTCTGCGCTTTTTGTAAAATTCAAGTTTGTTTATTTGTAGCTGTGAATTTCTGTCACACATTTTAGCCAGGATAGTTTTTCTGCTATCACGTTGTGGTCGCAGACAACACTCTCTTCTCACAGCAACATATTTCCCCTGCAACAGCCCAGAAATAACTATCTCTGCGAACTTGGCAAATTATTAACAGATAGTCTTATACAACTGAATATTATACAATGTCTATAAATCACAATAAATATGTCCAGGTAGGAAGCAAATATAGATAAAACCAACAAAGTATTCATAATTAATTTTGGTAGCAGACTATGGAAGAAAATGTAGTCAACAATCAAAGAGATAAAATGATGTACAATAATTACCTCTCATCTCACCACTGATAAACAGCAGTTCATTTCTTTCATACACTCTTAACAATAAATTCTATTTTCACTCATTTCTCTAATACACTCTAACAATACATTATATTTGTCAATCATTTATAACGACTGATTGATTTGATTGGCACCTTGCCATCTTTCCAGACCATAGTGTTAAACTGTGCTATGAAGAGACATGGGACTCAGCCATAGAAAAGTCTTCCACTATTGAAACGTTGGATGTCAGAACCATTGTTGTCAATGTTTGTGTTTAGTTTGTTTCTTATTAAACGCTCAGCTCTCATTCTTTCTGTAATAATTTTGTCCTTCATTTTTATTCCCTTCCTGATGCACCGACTTCTTTAATACACTCTATCAATACAGTATAACTTCACTAATTTCTTTACTACACAATATCAGTCAGTCTTACTTCACTCATTTCTTTTATACACTCTATCAATAGTCTCACTTCACTAATTTATTTAATATACAGTTTAACTTCATTCATTTCTATAATACACTCTATCAATAGTCTCACTTCACTAATTTATTTAATATACTCTATCAATAGTCTCACTTCACTAATTTATTTAATATACTCTATCAATAGTCTCACTTCACTAATTTATTTAATATACTCTATCAATAGTCTCACTTCACTAATTTATTTAATACACTCTATCAATAGTCTCACTTCACTAATTTATTCAATATACTCTATCAATAGTCTCACTTCAATAATTTATTTAATACACTCTATTAATAGTCTCACTTCACTAATTTATTTAATATACTCTATCAATAGTCTCACTTCACTAATTTATTTAATACACTCTTTCAAAACAGTATAACTTCACTAATTTCTTTACTACACAATATCAGTCAGTCTAACTTCCCTCATTTCTTTAATACACTCTATCAATAGTCTCACTTCACTAATTTATTTAATATACTCTATCAATAGTCTCACTTCACTAATTTATTTAATATACTCTATCAATAGTCTCACTTCACTCATTTATTTAATATACTCTATCAATAGTCTCACTTCACTAATTTATTCAATATACTCTATCAATACAGTTTAACTTCACTCATTTCTAGGACCTTCACATTTCAAATATTCAAATTCAATGTTCATAGAGTAAAAATTCAATGTCTCAAACAAACAGATTCAATATTTATAGAGTAGAACAATAGGATCTCAAATAAGTTCATAGAGTAAAACTATATCGTCTCAACGGATTCAATGCTTATAAAGTAAACTATACTGGATGAAAAAAATCCAATGTTCAGTAAAAACTACACTGTCTGGAACAAATCCAATGTTCAGTAAAAACTATACTGTCTGGAACAAAGCCAGTGTTCATAGAGTAAAACTATACTGACTTAAATAAACTGAATTTTCATAGAAGTTAAACTATATTTTCTGAAACAAATTCACTGTTTACAGAGTAAAACTATACTGCTTCAAATAAATTCAATGTTTATAGAGTTACATTTTATCGTCTTTAAAAAATGCAATGTTTATAGAGTAAAATTATATTGTCTTTAACAAATTCATTGCTCATAGAATAAAACTTTACTGATTCAAACAAATTCAATCTTTTCAGAGTAAAACTATACTGTACTGAACTGAACAAATTCAATGTTTATAGAGTTCTTTAACAATCAAAACCAATGATTACCCAAAAAATTGCCACAAAGCACGCAATACTATGTCATGGAGCAAAGAAGGCCGTTCACAGTGTCTCAGCACTTGAACATCTCCGGGATAGCTAATGGAATCAAAATGTTTTCTGTATCAAAGAGTCAGCCAATGAAACATGAAGACAATGAGAATGAAACCATTCAGGAGATTCTAGGATGTAAGACAGACAGCCCAATAGTATGTATGCATTATATCCTCACACTGCTGACTACTGTAGACAGACTGGCCACTGACAAGAAATAGTTTCTGCATGCATGGTCGTACCTTAGAGTAGCCACAGATAAGAAATACTTTCTGCATGAACGGTTATACCTCAGAGTAGCCATTGATAAGAAATACTTTCTGCATGAACGGTCATACATCAGAGTAGCCACAGGCAAGAAATACTTTCTGCATGAACGGTTATACATCAGAGTAGCCACAGATAAGAAATACTTTCTGCATGAATGGTCATACATCAGAGTAGCCACACGCAAGAAATACTTTCTGCATGAATGGTCATACATCAGAGTAGCCACACGCAAGAAATACTTTCTGCAAACTTTCAGCTAAGAGTCACAGACTGAAAAGAGGAACCTCTTGGATGACACAACAAAAGACACAAGTGCAGGTTCTGGCCACTAAGCACTGCAGAATCAGACATTTAACACTGATTCGTGACAATTTATGCCTAGTTGATTATCTATACAGATGGCTCTGTGCTGAGAGGCAAATGAAGTTTAGGCGGTTCCTAACAAATGCATGCTGAGGGAGGGGGAAACAAGTATATTCTGTGCAGTCACAAGCATCACTTCAGAGTTCTCTTGTAGTTTGCATTTTTTGGACATTTTCTTCAGGATATGCAGGTGTGCTAGGAAAGTGGAAATAAACAGGCCTTTCAGATGAGGGTTAGATAGCAACTGTTCACTAGTCAGGTGAGATTTAAATATACGACTACAGATTTATGGCACACATGAAATTCTCATAAATTACTGTCCTAATGGGAATATTACTGCTGTTGCCTATAAAATAGCCAGGCCTATCAAATGTAGTCAAGTCTTGACTCTGCTGTTTACCTGCTAGATTTCATACACAAACATGAAAGGACAAGAACAGAAATGGAGCTACATAAACTGTATAAGCTCACAGTTCTCAAGTTATGACAAGGAAACAACAGATGTCAAACAAGGGTGTCATCAAATACATAGGGTCTTCAGAGTTTCAAAGAATATGGCATTTCTACTACTACCATCTCATACTGTATGGGAAGAGATGTGCTCAGAATAAGTACAGCCAATCTTCAAATGATGTATTATATATCAAGTGCTAACAGGGAATTTATAACAACAAAAGACATTGTATTTCCTGTCCATTGCTATGGACCTGTTATGTTATCATCTGTGATTTCACATTACAGGGTAAACCCTATTCTATAGACACATATGTGTATGTATATGAAGACAGCTATGTTTGACAAGTTGTAAAGTGAATATTGTTGAGGAATCTACTTGAAACCAACAGGCAGTCTAGGCTGTTTCCATTTCTACTGACATGTTGTGCAGTCTGCCATGGTTGAACATCTCCTGGTGGATCATCTCAATGTCTGGGACCACCTGATTCTGGTAGCCATTGGCAGCGCTGTCTCGGCTGTCACTGCCGTTGGTCTCCACACTAGCAGCCACCACCATCACTACCATTGCATCAGCAGTTGTCTGGCCACCAGATGGGATATTGGCACCTCCCAGCAGGTTCACACCTGGGTTGGGCATCTCCATATTTTTGTTAGCAATACTTTCCACAATTGGGCATAACATTGAGTTCTCCCAGGGCATAGGTCGAAGGTCATCACAGTTGTCTTCTTGATCTACAGACATCAGCACTCTAGATTTCACTGTAGAGATGAAAAGATGAAATTGTCTCACAATCAGTGTTACATCAGCAAGACTTGACTTATAATGAGTGCTACACTTAACAATGAGTGCTACAAACAACAATCAGTACTACACTTAACAATGAGTGCTACACTTAACACTGAGTGCTACAAACAACAATCAGTGCTACACTCAACAATATCAAGGAAAGATATAAACCTGAACGAAAAATATATCAGTGAACTTTACAATATGACAAAAACAAACAAAACTTGAACACTGCGCCTATATAGTCTTTATCAGCACATGCACAAATTAGACAATGCTACACAAATAAACAATATCCCTTATCTTCGTATCTCAAAGCAGCCAGGTCGATGTCTAGCCAATAGACTGGCCGGGACACCTGAAAAGGGGAAAATAAATATCCAGGGGAAAGCCAGGGACCAGAACTCGAGAATAAGATGAAACTGTGCAGGCAATTCAGTCCCTAAGGATTCTAGATGAAGCTGTGTTGGCAGTTTAGTCCACTGGGAGCCAGAGTTCCCAAAGTGTATATAAAACGATTTTCAAGAGATTTGCGAACTCTGTCACTGGAATGGCTGGGTATAATGGCTGTCCCCTCCATGTCATGGACACCTTGGTGTCCTGGGAATTAAAAAAAATGGTACTTATTTCAGGGAACCGGTCTGCACATCCAAAAGATGTCGTATGAACCTGTTAGCCAGTCATAAACCTGTTTCACTGATGTCTTTAACGTCGCATCTCTTGCAGTTGATGGCGTAAATGACGTTACCGCTCGTGCAATAGAAAGCTTCACGTATGTGAAAGATGGCATTCAGGGAATTCCAGGATAGTACCCTGAATCACATATGGACAGGTCCTGCATACATGTCTGTGGCAAGAGACAGTCCTGAAGTGGGACTCGGAGGCAGGACGTAATAGACTCTTACTAGAATGTCCCTGAGGTTACGGTCGTGCCTGTAGGCCACTAGGGCAGGTTCCAAGAAAACCTTGCTGGTGGCAGGGTCGGCTTTAAGGATGGAGAGATGCTTGAGGAGAATATTTTTAGCACGGATGTTGTGAGGGTGGTAGGTAAGTATGAGAATAGGTCTGTAGTGGTGCCGTTTAGGCTTTGAAGGGAGTGACTCAGCACAATGGACAGACTGCGCTCTGTGAAAGGCAGCAGTTAAGACATGTTCTGGAAACTGATGTCATGGGAAGAAATCCAACAATTTTAGGGCCTTGTTGTGAAAGTTGTTGTTCTCCTGGCATTTCTGCAGAGGTGTAGGAGCTGGAAGAAAGGAATGGAGTCTTTGCAGAAAGAGGGATGAGAGGATGTGTAAAGAAGAAAAAAGCATGGGAATCAGTAGGCTTATAGTACACTGAGGTGCTAAGGTCTTCACAGAGTCCACAGTGACATTCAGATCTAGAAAATGCACAGATGAAGGTGAAATGCTGAAAGTGAAATTGATGTTGGGATGGAAGTTGGAGAAAAATGAATAAAGTTTTGCAATTCAGGTAAGGGCATATCGGTGACATCAATGTAGTCATCGATATACGTTTGTAGAGCTCAAGGAGCCTACCGGTATAGGCATGATGTATCTGATGCTCGAGGTGGCCCATGAAGAGGCAGACATTTAACAATGATTGCTACCCTCACAGTCAGTGCTATATTTAACAATGAGTGCTACCCTCACAGTCAGTGCTATATTTAACAATGAGTGCTACCCTCACAGCCAGTGCTATATTTAACAATGAGTGCTATCCTCAACAGGGAGTGCTACATTCAACAGTCAGTGTTTCACTCAACAATCAGTGCTACAACAAACAATCAGTGCTATAAACACCAATCAGTGCTACACTCAACAATCAGTGCTACACTTAACAATCAGTGCTATAAACAACAATCAGTGCTACACTCAACAAGGCTTGACTTATAATGAGTGCTGCACTTAACAATTAGTGCTACACTCAATAATCAATGCTATAAACAGTAGTCAGTGCTTAACTCAACAATCAGTGCTACATTCAATAATGAGTGCTACAAACACAAACAACCATCAGCGTTAAAAAAAATAATCAGTGCTACACTGAACAATTAGTGCTACAAACAACAAATGGTGATACACTCAACTATCAGTGCTACACTCAGCCATGAGTGCTATAAACAACAATTGGTGTTATACACAACAATCAGTGCTACAAACAACAATCAGTGCTAAAAACAACAAACAGTGCTACAAACAACAATCAGTGCTACACTCAACAATCAGTGCTACAAACAACAATCAGTGCTACACTCAAAAATCAGTGCTACACTCAGCAATCAGTGCTACAAACAACAATCAGTGCTACACTCAACAATCAGTGCTACAAACAACAATCAGTGCTACACTCAAAAATCAGTGCTACAAACAATAATTAAATGCAACACTCAATGATCAGTGCCACACTCAAACAAACAAAAAGTGAACACAGCAGCTAGACAGCCTTCATCAGCACACTAGGTAAATCTACAATGCCACAATAACATCCATTTTTCTAGCTTATTTCTATGCAGTTCTCATTCCCTGCCTCCCTGTATGACGACTTCAGGGGAGATGTCAAGCCTATCTCTAGGATGACTGTGGCCACTGTTTTGTGGAATGAGATGTTGCCTCATTTGTGTGGAGTCCTCTTTGTCTCTTCATTTACAGGTGTTGCCCCTGGAGAACCCCCTTTAGGGCAACCCTATGTAGAACTGTCAGCCCTTAAGTGAAGGCAGAGGCAGATCATGGGCATTCCCCGCCATCCAAGGAGGCTTCCATAAATGCAAAGCCGACACATGACGCTTTGGTTCTGAGCTCACCCAAGGAATCGCCACGTCTTGCAGATGACTGCTTAACCTCATAACCGCATACTGAGATCCCGCTCGGCACAGGCTGCGCTCTGCAGAGATCAACCTGCAGGTCCAGGACCTTTGTGACTACACAAATATGTACATTCTACATGAGACACCTTTAATGTTGTTTCAACTGTGCACTTAGCACGGCAGTATGGAGAAGCATGCATCAGGGATGGCTTTAACACTTGGGCCAGTGGATACGGGCATATTTTACTTGTTTGCCAATCAGTAAGATTTATGATGGTCAGACATTGCGATTTGCTCGTGTTTCGTAGGATTTATCTTTGTCCGAAATTAGGGCCTAGCCAGTAGATGAACAGTTGCTGTAGTGGTGTACCTCACCATGACGATAACGCTGAAGGTTGACAGAAGATGTATGTAGGTAGGATTTTACTGCGAGAAACTGCGACAGAAAATGCTACTCGTCTAGGCTGCGGATAAATCTCTTGGTCAAGGGTTGAGTCTCAGCAGCACAGTTTTCCTTTCACTTCACAGACTTTCAACAGTGAGTTGTCATTTAGTGGTACATTTGGCAGCAGACTTTTCTCATGTTGCAAATGAGTTTTGATAGACTTTTCACCCATGCATTTGGGGACAGGCTGTTGAGAGCCAGGATGGACACTACACCCCTAGGGCCACCAACTCTGAGATCCCCTGCCAGCTCTGTTAATGCTAATTTGAGACATTATCCATGGGGTACGACAGGGATGTGCAGCAGGAGTCTCGTATGAGGTTCCGTAAAACCATAACACGAAAGGCTGGTGCCCGAGTGAGGTTTGGAGTGTCTACTCATACACATCACATCGGACTTAACTTTCTCTCATGCCTGTGACTGAAATCACTGCGCCATGAGTCTTTATGACATGAATGTTGTAAGGGTCGTAAATAAGGTGGAGGAAAGAAGTGAGGGCCTCAGCACAATGGATAGACTTTGGATGGCAAAAGGCAATGGATAAGATGTAATCAGGGTAGCCTAGAAGCTGGAAAAAGCCCAGCATTTCCAAGGCCTTTTGGTTAAGCCAGTTTCCCTGACCCAGGCTAAGGAGACAAGACTTCAAAGGTATAGTTACTGCTACAATGCAATCAATAATGACTACTACAATTAAATCAATAACGAGTGCAACAATGAAATCAATAATGACTACTACAATTAAATCAATAACGAGTGCAACAATGAAATCAATAATGACTACTATAATTAAATCAATAACGAGTGCAACAATGAAATCAATAATGACTACTAGAATTAAATCAATAACGAGTGCTACAATGAAATCAATAATGACTACTACAATCAAATCAATAACGAGTGCTACAATGAAATCAATAATGACTACTACAATTAAATCAATAACGAGTGCTACAATGAAATCAATAATGACTACTACAATCAAATCAATAATGAGTGCTACAATGAAATCAACAATGACTACTACAATTAAATCAATAATGAGTGCTACAATGAAATCAATAATGACTACTACAATTAAATCAATAATGAGTGCTACAATGAAATCAATAATGACTACTACAATCAAATCAATAATGAGTGCTACAATGAAATCAATAATGACTACTACAATTAAATCAATAACGAGTGCTACAATGAAATCAACAATGACTACTACAATCAAATCAATAACGAGTGCTACAAAGAAATCAATAATGACTACTACAATCAAATCAATAACAAGTGCTACAATGAAATCAATAATGACTACTACAATGAAATCAATAATGAGTGCTACAATGAAATCAATAATGAGTGCGACAATGGAATTAATAATGACTATTAAAATGAAATAAATAATGGATGCAACAATAAAATCACTAATGACTTTTACAACAAAATAAATAATACCAACACAAAAGTAGCAATGAATGCATGAACTGCTTACTGTTTGGTGTTACGTAAGGACTGGAAGTATCTAGTGCAGGCAAGGGTTGAGGTCCCATTTGTGGCTGTGGCTGTGGCAAACTGATAGTCTGTGGCTGTACAAAGCCCAGCATGGGAGGTTTTGTGGAGTAGCCGATGTTCAGGTTAGACGGGGACATGCTGCCCAGGAACACAGCAAAGCAAAACACCAGAACCTGTGACAGATCAAACAATTTTCAGTTTGACAAAACAAACAAATGTAAACTTCCACTAGCATTTTCTAAGTTACAGTGTTATCTGCATTGCTTACATCATGCAGTACTTTACTGGCTATTCTGTTCTGAATTACTTGCTTGTATCATGCAGTACTTTACTGGCTATTCTGTTCTGAATTGCTTGCTTATATCATGCAGTGCTTTACTGGCTATTCTGTTCTGAATTACTTGCTTGTATCATGCAGTGCTTTACTGGCTATTCTGTTCTGAATTTCTTGCTTGTATCAGGCAGTACTTTATTGGGTACAGTGTTTTTCATTGCTTACTCGTATCATGTAGTGCCTTATGAGGCATTGTGTTCTGCATTGTATACTCAAATCACTGCTCCTATCATGTAGTCCTTTATGGGATACCATGTCCTGCATTGCTCGTATCATATAGTCCTTCATGGGGTACTGTGTTCTGCATTGCTCGTGTCATATAGTCCTTCATGGGGTACTGTGTCCTGCATTGCTCGTGTCATATAGTCCTTCATGGGGTACTGTGTTCTGCACTGCTCGTGTCATGTAGTCCTTCATGGGGTACTGTGTCCTGCATTGCTCGTGTCATATAGTCCTTAATGGGGTACTGTGTTCTGCACTGCTCGTGTCATGTAGTCCTTCATGGGGTACTTTGTCCTGCATTGCTCGTGTCATATAGTCCTTCATGGGGTACTGTGTTCTGCACTGCTCGTGTCATATAGTCCTTAATGGGGTACTGTGTTCTGCACTGCTCGTATCATGTAGTCCTTCATGGGGTACTGTGTCCTGCATTGCTCGTGTCATATAGTCCTTAATGGGGTACTGTGTTCTGCACTGCTCGTGTCATCTAGTCCTTCATGGGGTACTGTGTCCTGCACTGCTCGTGTCATGTAGTCCTTCATGGGGTACTGTGTTCTGCACTGCTCGTGTCATGTAGTCCTTCATGGGGTACTGTGTTCTGCACTGCTCGTGCCATGTAGTCCTTCATGGGGTACTGTGTCCTGCACTGCTCGTGTCATGTAGTCCTTCATGGGGTACTGTGTTCTGCACTGCTCGTGTCATGTAGTCCTTTATGTGGTACTGTGTTCTGCACTGCTCGTATCATGTATTCCTTTATAGGTGTTAGTCCTGAGAAGGACTAATCTGATAAGACCACCCCAATAATGTTGTCGTTTCTGTTGTCACAATTTTACGCTGAAGACTGGTTTCTTTATCTAGGTATATCCATCCTTACTTGTATTGTAAGCAAATACTGCAGTTAATCAATATCTGGGTACTTAATCTATGATTTAGTACACACTGCAGTTAATCATTAATTGGGCATTAAATCCAAGATTTAATCCAGGTCACTAACAAAACTAGATGAGATAGGGTAAGGAATACCAGCATTAGACAGAAAGGTCAAATAAGACCATTGTCTGGCAGACAAAGAATAAAATGGTTCAGCCATCTAGTGAGAATACAGCCAGATCAGACAGCATATGAGACAAATCCATCACTCAAGCCACCCGAGAAGTGCAAAATCCACAACATTGGGTAAATTTTTGTGAGCATACATTGCTTGAGTTTTCACTTGGTTCATTTTGTGGCAGTTGAAGCATCTCAGTTCTGGTTTGGCTTTGGCTATTCTCTTTGACTGCTGCTTTCCACTTAGAATATTTGGGTCTCTACCACCTCATTCGTTAATAATCCACAATGCATTACTAGTTTATAATTACAGTGTGTATGATATGTGTGTATGCGTATATGTGTGACATGCATGCGTGCGTATGAAAGTATGTATGGGTAACTGTATAAGTTTGTGTGTATGTCTATGTGGGTCTGTGTGTGTGTGTAAGTATATGTCTCTGTGTGTGGGCGTATGTCTGTGAGTGTGCCTGTGTGTCAGTCTGCGTGTCTGTAGGTGTGCTTGGTGCATGTGACTGCATGTGTGTGTCTGTGTGGGCTTATGTTTGTGTGCGTCAGTGTGTGTGTTTGTATGGGTCTTTTTGTGTAATGTATGCAGTGTAAGAGAGAGTATTTGGGGGTGGTAATGTATGCAGTGTAAGAGAGAGTATTTGGGGGATAGTAATGTAAGCAGTGTAAGAGAGTATTTGGGGATGGTAATGTAAGCAGTGTAAGAGAGAGTATTTGGGGGATAGTAATGTAAGCAGTGTAAGAGAGTATTTGGGGGATGGTAATGTATGCAGTGTAAGAGAGAGTATTTGGGGATGGTAATGTAAGCAGTGTAAGAGAGAGTATTTGGGGGATGGTAATGTATGCAGTGTAAGAGAGAGTATTTGGGGGATAGTAATGTAAGCAGTGTAAGAGAGTATTTGGGGGATGGTAATGTATGCAGTGTAAGAGAGAGTATTTGGGGATGGTAATGTGTGCAGTGTAGGGGAGAGTGTCTGGGGAAGGCAATATATGTATTCTATTTAACTTTACTTTTAAAATGTATTAATTTATTTTTACCTTATTCATTTTTTTTTGTTTCACTACTGTTTTTATTCTGTGTATCAATAATCATTTTTTTTCTCTCCCCATTAATCTACTGATTCTTTTATCATTATTATTAGTTTTACCTGCTTGGTTTCACAACAGATCTTCTTCTCTCAATTTTCATTCTTTCTCTGTGTGACCTTCCTGATTTTGGCGCTGCAGCTTAGTATTTTTGTTGTTCTTAATTTATTAACCAATAAAGATTTAGTTAAAACATTTGGTTGTGTCTTTGCAGGTTCCCCCCTGGCATCATGGAGTTGTAGCTGAATTTAGAGGACTTATTTCACCTTGAACTCAGCACCTCTTAGAACAATAAAACACTTATGAAAATTATGCAAAGCACTAACAACAAAATATATACAACAACAAATATGAACACCAACAAAAACATGAGCACTAAAAAATAAAAAATTTAACAGCAACAAAAACACCAACCAAAAAGACAGAACAAAACATGAACAACACCAACAAAAAACAGGAACAAAAAGACCAACAAAAAAATGTCTTACAATAACAACAACAAACATTTACAATATTTTTCTTTTCAAAATACATAAACAACAACAACAACGAGAAGACCAGCTAAAACATAGATAAAACGGAGAGAAAAAAAGAAATACATCAGCAACTACCAAAAAAAAAAAAAACCAACTAAACTACAATCAAAACATGAATAAAAAAAATTACAATACTAACAAAACAGAGTAAAAAAAAAAAGTGTGAACACCCTTCAAAAACAAAAAAACACACAAAATATGAACACTAAAAAGGACCATCAAAACACATCAACACAAAGAAAAACACCAAAATAAAACATGAATAACATTAACAAAAAAGACCACCAAAAACATGAACATCAACAGAAAACATAAACAACAAAAAACAACAAAATTTTAACAACATAAAAACCAATAAAATTTAGAAGCAGGACCAACCAAAAAAATACACACACAAAAAACATAAACAAAACCAAAAACACAAAAGACTCAAAAACAAACATGAACAATAAAAAAGAAAAGCACAAATTCTGAACACCAACAAACAAAACATGAACAATATTAACAACAACAAAAAACCAACTACAAAATTAACAATATCAAAACAAAAGATAAACAAGACCCCCCCCCCCCCCCCCATTAAGCAGCCAACACATTTAAAAAAATTAAAACAAACATCAAAAGACCAACAGAAAAAAACATTTAAAAAACCCAACCAAAATGACCAAAGCTACAGCTGTATCAGTTGTATACATACCATTAAAGCTGTGCCCGTCTGTGTGGCCGTGGCAGCTTTAGGCATTTTACTAACCAATGACTGGAGCTTCTGCAGCTGACCAAGCAATGACCTGATGATTACATGATACAAGCTCAATGAGTTTCACCTGCACTGCATCTGTTACTGTAGAGTCAGACAGCCGGCATTTCACATATTACTGTAGTGGAAAGTGCTCAATATATCACCTATTATCGTACACTCGGACTCTACAGTAATATACCAAATGTGAAGACGAAAGAGTGGAAGAATCAGTATATACTGTGTGAAAAAGAAAATGTGTGCGAGTGAAAAAAATCAGTCTCCACTGTTTCACAGAGAATGTGAGAGTGAAAGTATCCATATCCACTGTGACAGAGAGTAAAAGAATCAGTGTCCACTGTGAGACAGAATGTGAGAGAGTGAAAGAATCAGTGTCCACTGTGAGACAGAATGCGAGAGAGTGAAAGAATCAGTGTCCACTGTGTGAGACAGAATGTGAGAGAGTGAAAAAATCAGTATATACTGTGTGAAAAAAAATGTAAGAGTGAAAGAATCAGTATCTACTGTGTCAGAGAGAATGTGAGAAAATGAAAGAAACAGTGTCCACTGTATGAGACAGAATGTGAGAGAGTAAAATAATCAGTGTCCACTGTGTGAGTTAGAATATGAGAGAGTGAAAGAAACAGTGTCCACTGTGTGAGACAGAATATGAGAGAGTGAAAGAATCAGTGTCCACTGTGTGAGACAGAATGTGAGAGAATGAAAGAAACCGTGTCCACTGCGAGACAGAATGTGAGAGAGTGAAAGAATCAGTATATACTGTGTGACAGAATGTGAGAGAGTGATAGAATCAGTGTCCACTGTAAGAGACAGAATATGAGGGAGTGATAGAATCGGTGTCCACTGTGAGACAGAATGTGAAGGATTGAAAGAATCAGTGTCCACTGTGAGAGAGTGAAAGAATCAGTGCCCACTGTGTGACAGAATGTGAGAGAGTGAAAGAATCAGTCTCTAATGTGAGAGAGAATGTGAGAGAGTGAAAGAATCAGTGTCCACTGTGTGACAGAATGTGAGAGAGTGAAAGAATCAGTGTCTAATGTGAGAGAGAATGTGAGAGAGTGAAAGAATCAGTGTCCAATGTGAGAGAGAATGTGAGAGAGTGAAAGAATCAGTGTCCACTGTGTGACAGAATGTGAGAGAGTGAAAGAATCAGTGTCCAATGTGTGACAGAATGTGAGAGAGTGAAAGAATCAGTGTCTAATGTGAGAGAGAATGTGAGAGCGTGAAAGAATCAGTGTCCAATATGAGACAGAATGTGAGAGAGTGAAAGAATCAGTGTCCACTGTGTGACAGAATGTGAGAGAGTGAAAGAATCAGTGTCTAATGTGAGAGAGAATGTGAGAGCGTGAAAGAATCAGTGTCCAATGTGAGACAGAATGTGAGAGAGTGAAAGAATCAGTGTCCACTGTGTGACAGAATGTGAGAGAGTGAAAGAATCAGTGTCCACTGTGAGACAGAATGTGAAAGAGTGAAAGAATCAGTATATACTGTGTGAAAAAAAAAATGTGTAAGAGTGAAAGAATCAGTGTCCACTGTGAGACAGAATGTGAGAGAGTGAAAGAATCAGTGTCCACTGTGAGACAGAATGTGAGAGAGTGAAAGAATCAGTGTCCAGAAAATGAAACTTTTCTTTGTCAGCTGTGACTAATCTCAAAGAAATCGACCACTGTCTTTAGGTTAAGTCTATCTTCCTAAGTATACAGAGTCCCTGTGAAAGCAAGCTCCACTGAAGGTCTGTGCCTCCAGCTAGGTTACTGCCTTTGTTACTGTCATGACCTCCACAGTTAAACTATTTGCAGTCAAGCAAAAGCACCAGAAACTTCCTTCACAGTTCTCCCTCTAACCTTAGCTGTAAGAGCCACAAGTGTTTACCTTCAATGACAAACAACAAATGATAACAAATTCTTTCTAACAAATTCATATTAAATAAAAACAACTGATAACACATTAAAAAAACTTAACTAAAAAAGCCTAAACTAAAACACACACACAAACTGATATCAAACTGTAACTAACAAATTAATACTAAACAAACAAAAAATTGATAACATGATAATGCCTAAAAAAAATTACAACTGATAACAAATTTAACCTAAAAAAAACAGATAACAAATTCATACCTAAACAAAAAATAATGGATAACAAAAACAACAGGTAACAAATTCATAATTGAACATCACAGAACATTACCTATTGTTGCTCTCCAAATTTTCCACTTTTTTCTTCAGGTCATTATTTTCATGATTGTATGCCTCAATTCTAAAGTAAACAAAATCATTAACATTATGATTTCATCTATCCATCATATGCATTCGTTTTCTTAGGCCATCACCTTCACAACTAAAGAAAAACTGTAATCGTAATGATCCACTCTACAGTAGAAATGTTACAGCCTGCCTTCATGTGAAGTCAAGCCAATGAAACACAGGCTGCACAGATCTGTCAAATAAATGCACACACAAAACTCAGATCCTGGAACAAAGCCAGAGTTGAGATATGGATGTACAACCAGCACATTCTGCCAGAGTTTACAGCCCGTGACAAACATACACAACCTGTATGGATGAGGTTCCGTGACTGCTGTCAATCAGTATAAGTTTATAGCTGGTGGACCAAACAAATATACAACAAATATAACCTCTATGTATAAAGTTCTGCAATTGGCAATCATCGTGAATTTATAGCCAGGCTGCAGTCTCTCTCTCTCTCTCTCTCTCTCTCTCTCTCTATCTCTCTCTCTCTCTCTCTCTCTCTCTCTCTCTCTCTCTCTCTCTCTCTCTCTCTCTCTCTCTCCCTCCCCTCTCTCTCCCTCTCGCCCTCTCTCTCACACACACACACACACACACACAGATACAAAAAAACATGAAGGCATGACAGCACACTCGCATATGCTTGGAAACACATGTGTGTGCACAAAAATACATACAGAAACATGTAAACATGTGATTTCAGTAACTGAGTTAGTTAATCGATAGATTGAACATTAAACCATTCAGCCCATAAGTGTTTGGTTCCCTTCCTAAGCTGAGTTGAGTTAAGTTGATTCAAGAACCGACATCACAGAACTCGGGACATTTCCATTAGCCCTCTGTCCCCATCTACAGCAGCCAGCGAAGAGTTTCGATACTAATGGCACCAGTAACAGTCTGATTAAACTTTCATTTTGCCTTTCCTCTGAACCTCGAGTATCTGCCAGAACCTCTCGTCCAAACACACTTACGGTCAAAATGGACGCTAGGCAGGGGCACTGTTTGGAGCCGAGGAAAATGTTTTGCTTCTGCCGCACGGTGGCCGATGCATTTTTGCTCCATTTGTAGACTAGATATAGTTTCATCGCCCAGCTTCTGAGTTGAATGCATGGCGTGGCACTGTGAGCTGCGGATTTTATTTCTAATGTTTTTTCGACTGTGACCAACGTAGTGGTGTGAACTGTCGATTCAGAAAATGGTGCGATCCCTGTTGTTGCAATGTTGGTGTTGCCTGTCTGTGATTAAAATTGATCGTGTGAGCAACTGCTGGTCTGTTGGTGATATCTGCTACCATCAATGATGAACTGCATTTCTAATGTCGGACTGTTTGTGTTAGCACTTTGGATGGCTACCGTATGCTTTAATGCGTGTGTATACTAGATATGCTGAGACAGCAGTCTGTCAATCTTTCCACAAGGGACTGTGATAAACATTCTGTGTGTTTTTCGTTGGCACAGGAGCGGAGCAAAAATGGGTTGACCCGTTTGCTATGAAGCTGAAACTAAGACTACCAGACCAGACCTCTCATCTTACCCCTCCCTGCATCAATCACACCAGACTGTGGTGATTCATATGCTCCTCCGAACTGTAAACGCTCTCCGTCAAGGCACTAACCACGTCTGCCTTATCATGCATCAGTATTCCAACAAGTTGTGCAGAGATAGCCAGTTCGTCCGCCTGTTCAATTCCCAACACACCGGTGCAGCCCGGTGAAAATATCCAGACAATACACCTCACCTGCGTCCTCTGCAGTGAAGCATGCCACTATGAACGAAGCATGCCTGTCCTGATCTTCCTCAGCATGCTTTCAGAGTCAGTTACAATCATGATGTGTGTGTGTGTGTTGTGTTCTCTAACCAGCAGAAAGCTGATTTTTAAGATAGATGTTGTGGATATGCTAGGCTCTCCTGCACCAAACGTCAACCATTAACTGTTGTTAAGAAACACTAAGTACTTCTTTCGCCTCTTGACACTGAACAGTCTGTGTAAATAATAAAATCCTCAGAGCGAGCATTATCTTGAACTAATTGCAGAATTTCCACCTCCGTGGCATCTGCAGGCCAGTCCCTGCATTCACGGCTCAGTGTGATCATGACCCTACACAAGTCTGTTCAGGTGGCACTTTGGCCCCCTCCTCTCCTCGCCTAATGTTCTCAAGGATGCAAACATGTCTGATTGTGTCTTCTGCCTGACCTTGAGATATGACTTCACCTGCAGCACCTTGTGCCTACCTGCAACATTTGGCACACCAAGGATGTATCACATACTAGGGTTTCTCTGGTGCAATCCAGAATTATCCACATAGCTGCGTTCTGTATGCGCTCTAGTTTGTCCATCTGACTCTTTGAGATGGTAAGCAGTCCCAGGCTATAATCAACCATTGACAGGATCAGGTGCTGATATAGTGTGAAAAGCATTCTCTGCTCTAAGTCAATTGCAGCCATAGTCTTAAGTGTACTAAGTCCTTTTTGGTATCTCGTCACAACACTCTCCACATGGTCCTTAAATGACAGGCTCCTGTAAAATGTAATTCCCAGATACTTCAGCTACTTAGTCAACAAATTATCCTCACTGCACATTCAACCATTCAGTCCATAAGTGTTTGGATCACCCTCCCCCCTCCCTCCCCCCCTCACTTGATTAGTTAGTCAACATATTATCCTCACTGCACACTGAACCATTCAGTTCATACGTGTTTGGATCCCTAACCTTAGTCAGTTACGTAAATGACAGATTATCCTCACGGAGAGACAGAGATTGGGGGGTGGGGGTGGGAATAGAGAGAGACACAGAGAGAGAGAAAGAGAGAGTTAAGTTGAGTCAAGAGTTGACATCACAGCATTCAGGGATTCCCATGCACACTCCATCCTCATCTTCAGCAGCCAGTCGTAAGTTCCAATTATAATGGTACCAGTTGTTCAGGTTATATGTCTTGCTTTTTCTCTGAGTGTAGTGAGTCAGCCAGATCCTCTGGTTACACTCAGGTGCATCATTCTCTCCAGGCCATAAAAATCTCATTTCTTTTCTGACTTTGTTACTTGTTCCCAAAGAGAACATATCTGCCTTGTCATGTATCAATTCACAACCTGCTACGAGTCCCCTGAAACTTCTCTTCCCTCTCAACATAGAACCATTTGTATAGATAATCAGATCATCTGGGTAAGAACTGTCGTTTATCAACCATCTGTTGGTTATCCACTTCCCTCGCACCGGCTGGCTACTCTCTGTACTCCGGGCCCAATGAAATCATAACCCTACGCAGGACAGACTCTTCCTCTGGTACTCTGACCCATTTATCTCCATGCCCAGTGTTCTCCAGCATGCATACTTGTCATATTGTCTTCTGCTTGAACCATCCAAAATGTCCTCCTTTTTCAGCCTCCGACCCTTAACTGCAGCCAAAGCTTCATACAGAGGGTGTTCTTTGTCTGCAGTTACTCTGAGGTATTACTGAGCTTGCATCACCTGTAGCCTATCTGCAATAATCAGCAAAGCAAGGGTGTATAGCATGCAAACAATTGGGGTGTCTCTTGTACATCCCAGGATCACCCACACTGGTTCATTCTGTATGGGCTCCAGTTTCTCTAGCTGGCTCTTTAAGACAGTGAGAAACTCCTAAAGATAATCACTGAGATGATTAAGAGCTGGTAAAGTGTGAACAGCATTCTCTGCTCTGTGTCCTTCGCTGCCATAATCTTTAGCGCATTAAGACCTTTCTGAGCCCTTGTCACAACCTACTCTATGTGATTCTTGCAAAACAAGCTTCCATCAAAGGTATTTTCTAGGTACCTTAGTCTGCTGTCTCTTCTGATGTCCCATGTATTCTTTGACCATGTATTCTTCCCTGGCCTGTAACTTCTCAAACCTTGTGGAATGAGATTTCTCTGTTCCAAAAATTCTTGCAGCTTACCCGCCACCATCTTCTTCAGAACTTTACCTTAGGTGTTTCGTAGGGTTATGATACCAAAGCCGCTGAGTGTTGAGTGATCCTTGCCAGGCTTAGGAAGTGGGATCAGATAGCTGTGCATACACTCTTGTGGGATCAGATAGCTGTGCATCCACTCTTGTGGGATCAGACAGCTGTGCATCCACTCTTGTGGGACTGAAGCTGTCCTAATGCACTGTTTAAAACAAGCAGTCATCTCCACCAGGTCTGCATAGCTCATGTCCCTCATATGGTAATATCTATCCCCTTTTGGGCCCAGGTGCAGTGTCTTTCACCTTTTTCAGAATCTGTTTCACATCTCCCACCTGTGTGATGTCTTCAAAATATTTGTTCTCTTTGTCTGTGGTTAATACCGTCATCACTATGAATTGTTCCCATTTCGCTGGGCTGATCTTTCTTGAGCATCTGCCTATGTAGCTTCCAAAATTTTCCCAATGTCTTATCACCCCGAATATCATCAGCAAAATGCTCCCATTTTGCTTTTTTGGCCTCTGCCGTACAGCACTAAAAAACGCTATCCTGTCTTTCTTATCTCTTTCTGCACACTCCAGCTACTCATGTAAGCTTAGGCTGTCTGTGGCACTTTCTTAAAATGTTTACTGAAGCTCTCTTTAACTTTCAAGTCTGTTCTACCACTGATGTCCACCATGGAGGCTGCACAAAAAGTAGACCTGCCAGGCCTCTTTCATGCCCTCTGTTGGAGGCATCCAAGTAGGGTGTTTGTCTGCTGATACTTGGAAGACCTGTGAGCTTTTGAAAGCTTTACTTTACTGGATTTGGAGATCAATCAATCAATCAATGAGAGAGAGAGAGAGAAAGAGAGAGAGAGAAAGAGAGAGAGAGAGTGAAAGGGAGGGAGGGAGAGAGAGAGAGAGAGACACAGAGACAGAGAGAGAGAAAGAGAGAGAGACTCCTTATGTATTTCCATGTGAGCTTGCTCAGGAAGTGTCATATATACCAGGATAACATAAACACAATGATAATCTAGTGATTTACCTTTTCTCTAACGCTTCCAGATATTCTTTCTTTTTCCGCCGGCTCTCTTGAGCTGAAATCTGAAACAGACAAACCATATAAACAAAAGACAGGAGACATCGGGTGTGTATGTGTTTGCATATACATTTGTGTGCATGTGTGTGTTTGGAACCTGTGTGTGTGTGTTAAAATGTGTGTTTGTGTACACATGTGTGTGTTAGCACATTCGCGTGTGTGTATGTGTGTGTGAGAGAGAGACAGAGAGAGCGAGAGAGAGCGAGAGCGAGAGAGAGCAAGAGAGAGAGAGAGAGAGAGAGAGAGAGCACAAGATAGGCAAACAGAAAGCAGAGAAAGGACGACTACAAATTCGAATTACTAAACTTCACAAAAAAATAGATTTGTCCACGGACAATAATGCATTGACAAAACATAGAACACACAGAAAAAATAATAAATATGGTCAACAGTGAAGTCAAAATATAAGGCGACTCTTCTGTCAATGACACACATCTGACGCAACCAGGAAGACAAGATGTCAACTTTGTTGTCTTCCTCCACAGGACTGCATGTGTAACACTGAGTATGTTTACCTATTGCTGCAGTCAATATGTGTCTAGTGTCATCACAAGGAATCTAGACAGAACCTAGACTGCACAATAGTCACTACTGACTCATACTTGGTATTTTTGACTTCTCACAACACTGCTAGTAAACAGCTTTAGGTAGGAAGGCTAGGTTGATGAGAAACAAATCTACCTGATGAGATTGGAACCTGTGACTACAGGGCCAGCAAGGCCGGTGTGCTAGCTATTAAATAAGTAAGGCTGCCTACATACATGTGCTGACAATAATACATACCTTGTTCTTGATTTTCCTGCGGATCTTTTTCAGATTCTTCTCCTCCTGTTTGGTCAATGGAAGTTTACTAGGGATGGGATAGCCTTCAGATATGAGAGTTCTCTTCTCTTCCTCTGAGAGAATCAGCAACCCAGACTGCGATATCTGTGTGGTGCGAGAAACAACAGCTATGAGATCCTATATTGTCTAATGCAAGTGTATCCTATCAAGCTCAGCTGGAGGGGAGGGTTAGGATATTCTCACAGCCTTATTAACAGGTCTAGAATGTTCCTTCTCACAGATATATCAACCAGTCTGGAATGTTCCCATTAGGGCTGTACTGAATAATCACTTTGGAGCTGAATAGTGGACTAAATAACTATTTGGTATTCGGCCGAATACTTGCAGTCAGGCTGAATACGAATAGTGGTTATCTCACACCCGTTTTGCATACACTGCGATGGACTGAAATAGTCATTAACACAATAATTGCTGTTGCCCAAGTCTGTCGTAGCGGGGGAAACTGCGACCCTGGTAGGGTCTTACAGCAAAGGCATTACAGCACAGGTTCTCAAACTGGGCGCGTATACCAGGGGTGCCACGGCGAAAATCAAGAAAAGTCGGCTATAAATTGTGACATTATTAAAGTAGGCATGAAGATACTTAAAAGTTAAAATTTAAATTGACTTTTCTCGCTACTGTCAAAAAGAGTTTTTTCCTTGTTTCACACTCAAAATGTATCATAATACTACAGTAAAATGCCAACCGCAGCATGCTAACAATGGTCTTTGTATTCATCTCGAGGTGAGACTGATCCTCCATCTGTATTCATGAAGGTGCAGCGGATAAGTAAGGTTGCGATTACATTTATCCTCAAATTTTAAAGAGGAAAATGTGGTCTGTACAATAGTCACTGTCAGCCTTGTCAAGTAAGCCCTTTTATTTAAAGGCAATGCGTTGAGAGTCCTGGACAATCGGTAGGCAAGCCAAACAATTTCTTGAGGCCTCAGAGATGTGGTTTTACAGAACAATGCTTAAAATATCCTGGACAGCCAAAAAAACAAGCAACCAAAAGGTTTTGAAAGTTGCGGGAGCCTGAAGACACCTAATCACAGACATCAGAAGGAGACAGTCATCATTTTTCAGCCATGTTATGAGAAGAGGGCAAATGAAAAATGTGGTGACCACTGGAAAGATCTGTGGAAGGAGGGATAGAGGAAAACAACGAAAGAAGATTCTTGACAGTCTTGTTGCATGGCATGAAGGTGTCTCAGCACACGAACTAATACATGCTGCAGGAGATCGCAGATTGTAGCGAGGCATATTCGCCCACACTAGTCGGCAAGGCACCAGATGATGATGATACACTATTCGTCTTCGGCCAAATAGTTTAACCCGCTATTCGTATTCGAACGAATAGTGAAAATCACTAGTACAGCCCTAGTTCCCATAGTCAGACTAACGAGTGTAGGATGTTCCCACAGCCATAGCAACAAGTCTGGGAAATTCCCACAGCCATAGCAACCATTCAGAGATGTTTCCACGGCCATTTTATCAAGTCTGGGATGTTCCCACAGCTAAATAACCAATCTAGGATATTCAAAGAGCCATATCATAAGCCTATGATGTTTCCACAGCCATATCAACAGGTCAGGAATGTTTTCACAGACATGTAATGTTAGTTGCAACTCAATAGCAATCGGATCACCCCATAGCTGCTCCGCTCCCGTGCCAACGAAAAATACACAGAATGTTTCCACAGTCCCTTGTGTTCATGTTCCTTCCCACAGCTATATCAACAGGTCTAAAATGTTCCCGTAGTCATAGCAACAAGTCTGGGATATTCCCACAGCCATAGCAACATGGCAGGGATGTTCCCACAGACATAGCAACATGTCAGGGATATTCCCACAGACATAGCAACATGTCCCAGATGTTCCCACAGCCATAGCAATATGTCCCAGATGTTCCCACAGACATAGCAACATGTCAGGGATGTTCCCACAGCCATAGCAACATGTCGGGGATGTTCACACAGTCATAGCAACATATCGGGGATGTTCATACAGCCATAGCAACATGTCGGGGATGTTCCCACAGCCATAGCAACATGTCCCAGATGTTCCCACAGACATAGCAACATGTCCCAGATGTTCCAACAGACATAGCAATATGTCAGGGATGTTCCCACAGCCTTCGCAACATATCAGGGATATTCCCACAGCCATAGCAACATGTCCAAGATGTTCCCACAGCCACAGCAACATGTCCCAGATGTTCCCACAGACATAGCAACATGTCAGGGATGTTCCCACAGCCTTAGCAACATATCAGGGATATTCCCACAGCCATAGCAACATGTCCAAGATGTTCCCACAGCCACAGCAACATGTCCCAGATGTTCCCACAGACATAGCGACATATCAGGGATGTTCCCACAGCCTTAGCAACATATCAGGGATATTCCCACAGCCATAGCAACATGTCCAAGATGTTCCCACAGCCACAGCAACATGTCCCAGATGTTCCCACTGACATAGCAACATGTCAGGGATGTTCCCACAGCCATAGCAACATGTCCCAGATGTTACCAGACATAGCAACATGTCAGGAATGTTCCCACAGCCATAGCAACATGTCGGGGATGTTTACACAGTCATAGCAACATGTCGGGGATGTTCACACAGCCATAGCAACATGTTGGGGATGTTCCCACAGCCATAGCAACATGTTCCAGATGTTTCCACAAAAATAGCAACATGTCAGGGATGTTCCCACAGCCTTAGCAACATTTCAGGGATATTCCCACAGCCATAGCAACATGTCCAAGATGTTCCCACAGCCACAGCAACATGTCCCAGATGTTCCCACAGACATAGCAACATGTCAGGGATGTTCCCACAGCCTTAGCAACATATCAGGGATATTCCCACAGCCATATCAACATGTCCAAGATGTTCTCACAGCCACAGCAACATGTCCCAGATGTTCCCACATACATAGCAACATGTCAGGGATGTTCCCACAGCCTTAGCAACACATCAGGGATATTCCCACAGCCATAGCAGCATGTCCAAGTTGTTCCCACAGCCACAGCAGCATGTCCCAGATGTTCCCACAGACATAGCAACATGTCAGGGATGTTCCCACAGCCATAGAAACATGTCACAGATGTTCCCACAGACATAGCAACATGTCAGGGATGTTCACACAGCCATAGCAACATATTCCAGATGTTCCCACAGACATAGTAACATGTCAGGGATGTTCCCACAGACATAGCAACATGTCGGGGATGTTCACACAGCCAAAGCAACAAGTCAGGGATGTTTACACAGCCATAGCAACATGTCGGGGATGTTCACACAGCCATAGCAACATGGCAGGGATGTTCACACAGACATAGCAACATGTCAGGGATGTTCCCACAGCCTTAGCAACATATCAGGGATATTCCCACAGCCATAGCAACATGTCTAAGATGTTCCCACAGCCACAGCAACATGTCCCAGATGTTCCCACAGACATAGCAACATGTCAGGGATGTTCCCACAGCCATAGCAACATGTCCCAGATGTTCCCACAGACATAGCAACATGTCAGGAATGTTCCCACAGCCATAGCAACATGTCGGAGATGTTCACACAGTCATAGCAACATATCGGGGATGTTCACACAGCCATAGCAACATGTCCCAGATGTTCCCACAGACATAGCAACATGTCCCAGATGTTCCCACAGACATAGCAACATGTCAGGGATGTTCCCACAGCCTTAGCAACATATCAGGGATATTCCCACAGCCATAGCAACATGTCCAAGATGTATGTTCCCACAGACATAGCAACATGTCCCAGATGTTCCCACAGACATAGCAACATGTCAGGGATGTTCCCACAACCTTAGCAACATATCAGGGATATTCCCACAGCCGTAGCAACATGTCCAAGATGTTCCCACAGCCACAGCAACATGTCCCAGATGTTCCCACAGACATAGCAACATGTCAGGGATGTTCCCACAACCTTAGCAACATATCAGGGATATTCCCACAGCCATAGCAACATGTCCAAGATGTTCCCACAGCCACAGCAACATGTCCCAGATGTTCCCACAGACATAGCAACCATGTCCCAGATGTTCCCACAGCCATAGCAACATGTCCAAGATGTTCCCACAGCCACATGTCCCAGATGTTCCCACAGACATAGCAACATGTCGGGGATGTTCACACAGCCAAAGC